ATAGGCGTTCGGGTGTATATGTTTACAAACACGAGAAATATTTATGAAATTTGTACCAGAATCCGGTCGTACTGAAACTACAACGGAGAAATTAAAAAAAAAATTATTGCATGTGATTCGTAAATTTGGAGTGATTTTTTTGAAGGCCATAGCAAATAATTTTAAATATGACGTGAGTACGCCCTGATGACTAAAAAAAAAACTCTATAATGTCATGATATTTTATGTTTAAACAGACTATATTAATATTGTGTAAAAACGAAAATATTCATATTCTTAAAAATGGGAAAAGACGATGAGTAGTCTATATTTGTACTAATTACTAAAGATCCATGGAGAACCGGTGAAGAGCGACAACACATATCGTCCTTGATCGGACCAAATACACGCATCACAGAAATGAACGAGGCAGCCAAATTGTTATTCAACTCTGGCCAATTGTAAAGGCGATTAAAAAAAAAACCAACGACAACATACAAAACGAAGAAGGAACGATCACAATTGGATGTGTGTTGAATCGTGACACTAGGATCGCCAGTAAAATGGCCAGAAGGACTGCTGATCAGGCGAACACGCCAAGTGCAGAGGGTAAAAGGAAAGAAAATAATGAAATATTGAGTCCAACGTATTCTCCACATACAATGATTCTCCACAATCGATAGGAGGTAACGAAGAACTGTCGAATGAACTGACAGTGGAGAAAAACTAAACGACAGTGAAATTGACGATGTATGACGTAGAGTCTGTGGAAGCGATAATTAATGCTGACGATGCACGAAGGCAATTCCCCAATGACGACTCTGGTGACAAAAAAAAGGAAATGGGCGAAATGACAATGGAAGGCGAATTTAGTTGTCGAGATGCTATCTCCCCAGTCAATCTTATAACAATTGAATCGACCAAAAATGACAAGGACAAAGAAAACTCGTTGTTAGATCCTTTTGTGAAAGACCTATTCGTACATAGCCTACCCGAAGCAAGGCAGTGCGCACCCAACCTGAAAAACGAATTATACGAAGAAAATGGACTTATAATGACTAACAACAATCCTGCTCCGGCGACCGTTACAGGCAACCCGATGCCACGGAAAATCGACGGGGAAAACCGCCTAAAGAAATTAAAAAAGAAGATATATGGCTACATAGTGGCTGGTAATTGCAACGAGAAACTGCGAAATTTATGGTAAGGTCGAATAAAATCCAATGGACTTGTTCGCTTCAACATGGGGTTCAGCAGTAAAACAAGTGGGCGATCCTGCGAATCGACAAATGTGAGAGAATTTTTTGATGAAAATGAAGACCAGGAAAGTGTGTTGAAATATTTGAAACAATGTATCGAGTCGTTTACCATACCCATCTTGCATGGTCTTTTGAACTTCGTCCCACGCAAGGCCGACGAAAATCATCGCAAAGGTTACGCCCGTACTTGCAAGGTTATACCCAAACGTTGTCGGGACGAACAAGCATTCCCATGTGATCGCTTATAAATTACGCGGTGGAAACAGATGTATTACTCCCGGAAAGCATATTATATGCTCTACAAAACATACAATTAAACCCCATCGAGGCTGAAGAGTTATACGTACAGCCGCTCGAGGCCAGCTCCTATTGAAAGTTGTTGAAGCTAGATATGGTGTAACAATAATAAAAAGACACCAAGTGGTGAATAATTAAGAATTTTTGAACTTTGTTTTATCGTCTATTGTTAAGTAAAAAAGAATAAAATAAAAACAATAATTAAGACACAAATGCCATGAACAAATCAAGTTCCGATTCCGCCCGAATGGTGTACATTTTTAATTCTAATAATAAGCGAAGTTGGGTTAGTTTTGCACAGGGCCTATGTTTTGTGTTGGCTTTGCAATAAAAGAAAGTCGCTGGAGCCGTAGGAGATCTAATCTCATTGTATATATATATATACATTTTTCGATACAATTTTTCCGACACTGTTTTAGTCTATTTGTATATACTGTTTTGACGGATAAAACTGTTTTCCAAAAGCACCCTTTTTATTTTATGCATTGTATTATGTATATATACTCTCACTGTTTAGTTAATTTCTTTCATTTGAGTTGGTTGCTTTTCAAACGAGACGACAAAAAAATCATAATTTCTGTTGCAACTAATTCAGTACAATAATGCGCGAAATAACGATCAAAATTTCACAGGTGTCCTCTGGCGAGAAAGCATATACTGACCGAACGTTTACTTTTAGAATCAGTATACTGTAATCCAATCAGTGAACTATACTCCGTGCACTAGCAAATGCCAGCTTCACTTTGAGCTATGCATGAACCAATGAACTTTGAACGTCATTTGTCAACGCTACCTCACGATGAAAATCGCGGAAATGAGAATATTGTGCTTCTTTCAGTGTCGCACACAAACCTGATTAAAAGAACGTTTCACTAATGATTTTCGATTCCACTCTTGGTACTCGGGAAGCGAGTCTGTTATCAACCTGACCGGTGAACGGAGATAGGTGAAGAGGAGTCGATGGGTCGATTGCTGATATACAACTCGCAAAAAGGACTACAAACCACGGGGCCAGCATAGTATGTTTAACGATAAAAGATGGTATACTTATAATCCAATTTCCATTTGAATCTATTCAGATGATGAGGATTTCAAATCAAACCTCTTCACAATGTGAACATGTGAAAAAAACTCGGGCATTTGCTCTGTCATCTACTCCATCTAGCGATCAACTAAGAAATTATTGGTTGATTCATCAGATAAATCTGAAATATATTGTAGCAGTGTAAAATGTGTTTGTTATTATTAGAGTATATAATAGGCAGTATACAAAATGAAGCGACCGTGAAATTAATTTTTTGTTTGTTATCTACGTCGCAGAATTCAAGAAAGCCATCAACGATTTAAGGAGTAGAAATGCACAGCTGCATTTATCGGATGTCTTACAAATCCGAATATCAAGATTCATCTTCATACAAAACATGTCGATTTATGAGGAAGCAACCAAGGATGCTGAGTATAAGCCAGAATTTGGTTGTAAACTCTATTTAATACTGGAAAACAGTTGTAAAGATAAGGGTGTAAAAAACATAAGAGATTAGTAATCTTGACAAACGTTTTTGTAAGCTTAGAAAAAATAAGAATGTTATTAGGAAAATTTTTCAGTTGGCAACTAAAAATGCTTGGATCGATGAAAATCCAGACAGTAAATAATATTTTAAACCCAAATTAATAAAGATAATGGAATCGATAGCACTATTTTAATTAATGGTTTCTAGATTGAAACCGTATACAATCCTTTAAAAATTGATTGAAAATATGAGGATTTGTTTAGGACAGATGCATCAAAACCGTATAATTACCTCGAATAGGCAGTGTTAATAAATTTTGCATTTAGCGAAAATGAAATGCTTCCAGCGTTTCTAATCTCCAGTAATATAGGAGATCCTACTCCGTGCACTTTATTGAAAAATGAAAAAATACTGTTTAGAAACAAATTCTTGATACAATTTGAGGACAAATAATTTAGCTATGATACCTATCAATATTCGGCAACAATAAATCAATAATTCATACAAATCTTCATCATTTTATTGCCTTATTAGATACAGAAGTGAAAGGTTACTCCGAAAGATTTCTCATAAACCCAGAACTTTTTTTCATTTCAGTTGTTCCACCCACAAATGAAAACAGCTGCCTCAGACGTAGCCAGCGAACACGCGTGAATCAGCTGAAATCTGGCGAGAACAATATACTTGGTATGTTCTTGTTCTACAAAGTATTGATTATACATTGATGATCTACATATTCATTATACATGATAAGATCTACATATTCATCCCGAAGAAGAGGCCGTAACGTAGAAATGCTTTTAGTCAAAATATTTTGTTATATTAAAAACTAGTGAATAGATTTATTTGAACTACGCATCGGAAACTAGAATTGATTCATTTGGGTCTATTGAAACAGTGGCATTAGAATAACAAAAGGATTCAGTGACGAAATTGCTAGGGAATTTCAGGACCGTGCGTGTGCCACCACGGCGCTCTAGAGCAGGCCTGCACAACATACGGCCCGCGGGCCGCATGCGGCCCGCTAGATACTTCTGTGCGGCCCGCGGGTCATTTGGAAACAAATCTTTGTTATTTTTGTTACATTGTTTGTACTCCGATCATATTAGAAATCGTGAGATTTATGTTTTGCACTAGTTTCAATAAATATCAAACTTATTGTAAAATTGGTGTGCCCTTCGCGACCCTTAAAATTCGTCGCTCGACCTCTCGCCCCCCAGTTTGGGAAACCCTGATCTATATAGATATCTCGGTATTCAAACTGAATCACGCTCAAAACAATATCGGTATACAATCTCACACCCATTAGTGCATATTAGCAACCTATTAATAACCCCACTATTTTTTACTAGCAGTTTATGAAACTGAAGTTTCTTTTTCAAATTTAAAACTTAAAAAACAATTTTTTCATTCATGAATGCTGCAGAAATTGTCGCACAAAATATATTGCTATTTACTGTAAAACTCCAAAAATTTTTGGAGCAGATTTTGTAGAAAAATGTAATTTAACAGTCGAAAAAGTACAACAGAGGAAGATCAATCGCTACTAAACGGATTATTTGTCCAGCCTGCAATGAAAATATCTAAAAATGTTAGATATGACTGAATACCTATATGTGGGACGATTTTACAAAACTGAACCCGAGTAAAATATTTTCCTGCAGTCAGTTTATACTGCAACACGCAATACCTAATTCTAATAAAAAAAAATATGGAAAATGAAAGGTCGCTTTCAAGGTAGATGAACCACTAAATACTCAAGAAAATAAGATTCTTCATATTTTTAAGCTTTCCAGTAATGGAAGTTTTTCATCAAATTTAACTGTTTAACAATATTATTTTGATTTGAAGTTCATCTTGTGAAATATGTATGTGGCAAAGTTTGCGGCCCGCCGGGCCTTCAGATTTATGCTTGCGGCCCTCGTGGTAATTTGAGTTGTGCAGGCCTGCTCTAGAGACTTCAAAATGTAGAGGTGCATTTACCATTATTCACTAATGACGTGGGAGACTGCAAGGTTTGCTCTGTGAAATAATCGCATAAAAAGAAGCGGCCCTGAATAAGTTACAAGAACGCGTATAATTTTAGCGAATGTAGCGTAAATCGTTGCGCAGCTCAAGATAATAATTGCTTCACGCAATGGCATACAAAGAAAGAATTGTATAGATTGATTAACATCATCGCTCTTTCATTCCTATGCGTGTGTGTATGTTGTGATGTATGTGTTGTGATGTTTCTACTATTGATCAATTGAATACAAACTATGAAAAACCTGCCCAAGACAAAAAACCTTAAAATTCGGACCGATTTACGAATCTATTTAGAACTGAAAAGCTAGAGAATTGTATAATAGGACAGTAAAATAAAGATCGTACAAATCAATTCAAATATCCTAGGCGACTACCGGTAAATTAAAGAAAAATTATGATAGAAATTGGAAATAGTTCTGAGCAATAGTTTAATTTAACAAGACTACGCTAACCCGAAAATAAAAAGATGCTTTATCTAAGAAATATTAGATGCAATTAATCTGCAATAGAAAAGAGTACACAGCCATAAGCCGATTAAATTTTTCTTGCGCGTAAATCTATCAATACTATCATTCATACAACACACTTGTTACACAAAAGAATAGTTAACATCTGTAATACGCGACATATTCGTGAAACTAAGACCACGATACAAGCGGTGGGTGGATGCTGAAGACTTACTAAACAACAGTCAATAAAAGTAACAATGCTAAAATTATAATTTTGCTTACAGCAAACAAATACCTGTTTTCTCTCAGTATAATCTTGACAAAAGACGCGCGGTTAATAAGCAACGAGCTCGGTCGAAACTGATTCAGCATCCATCGCTAATCAGTACTAAAAGTTTTCTAGGTTGAATTAATAATTTTTAAAATCTGATCTAATTCAAACGTGTACTTATCTTGTACAATCTTCAAGATTCATTGTTGTATCTGAAATTCAGTGGTTGGTTATTCTCTCTATCATTTCCAATTCCTCCTAAAGTGGAAAACAAAGGCTATATTTTGTTATATTGCTATGTCAAATTCAACAGCAAAACGGAGTAGTTGAGCAAAAATAACATAGGATAGTCAGTATGAAGTAATAGACATAATTATAATTACCTTTGCATCCTGTATGCCAAATATTGTAAAGCACAAGAATATCTGCATAATTTCCATTTCTTTCTGAAATAGAGAAACGAGTCGAATATGACATTACAATGTGAAATTGGACGGCCAATCACAAAGAAAATTAGTGAAAATATTATATAAATCACACATAAATCGGCAATAGACATAACTACCTTTGAATGTTGCACGCAAACGACCAGGAAAAGCTGATAAAAAGTATTGAAGCTACAAACGACCGAAGCGAGGGTCCACCCAATCCAACTGAATGTGAGCGGCCAGGTCGAAGCTGAAACAGACACGACACGTGTAACGCTGGCATTGTGGGTAATGGTAGCCGGAGTCTTCGAAGGAGGATTGATATATTCTGGACGCAAAAATGAATCTTTATATATTCCCAATATCCAACTGATGAGCAATATCAAATATTTTTTGAAACCTAAAAAAAGTGATAATCATTTAAAAATAGTATAGCATAGGTTTAATATTATCTGAGTAGGATTATCCAAACCCACCAATTTCGCAAGTCAAGTCAATTGTCACGAAAGGAATTGATTAGTTTTACACGGGACATATGAATTTAAGCTGTGCGTTATTGTTACAAGCAACATCTTTTTGTTTGCAAGCTTAAATTTATCAGTAAAAGTATAGCCTACCCTAGACAGATTACGTACGCTGTATTGAAGCCGGGTAGCATCTGTCCATCTTTTTATTTCAGAACTTAATCTTCGATTGCTGTCACTGTCCGAATGACAGCCATACTTCCCTGATAAAGAAGACATCAAGAACGAGTTGCCGAGACTCTTCAGTCGCAGATCAATGACCATGACCAGCGACCTTAGATCCAATGTCAGCTACTACTGCAAATGACGATCATCACCACATACATTTTCATTTGTTCATGATTAAAACTTAAGGGTTAGCCCGATCCGTCTTTGATCATTGGTTATGACACTCGTTTAGTGGAAAAGCTATAGTATTAGGTTCAAAAATGCCAAAGCTGCAAATGTTTTTTCAATAATAATATTGAAATTAACTCCGTGGTAATCGGTCGAAACGAGCGAAAAGACATATGGTGTTAACTGGAGCTCTAAACTTCTATAGTTTTGCTGGATTCAAAATTTCGATAATCAAATCAAACACAATCTGTATTTTGAATAAACTATTCACCTGACCAAAAACTGCACAAGTAGCAAATCAGTGACTTCAATTTATTTTTTTGTAATTTTTTTTATTACTGTTTTGAGGATTGATGATTCAAATACAAAAATTATTCAAATTCTCGTATATTCTCTATGTTAAAACGTAAAATATTGTAGACACATATTTCCAAAACTGCCCTGATTACTATTGAATTCCTGGAAGCATTTTATCAAACTAATTGAAAGGATTTTAACATTGAAATGGCAATTAAAATACAATACTGCGAGCGCTTTAGTTCAACTTCATCTCACAAAGAACTCCATAAGTCTGAGCTATCGGTTCACCGTTTCTCATCCCTTGGGCAGTAGCAACGGGATCGTTGAAAACAGTGAGCCAAACGTTTGTAAAATCTTCAAACAGATATTTTCCTGTGAGCGGATAGCCTGGAAACCATTCTGCAAATGAACCCGGAGATGTAATTCGAACATTCTAAAGAAAACATATTGAGAAGTATTAAATAAAAGTATGCGAACAAAAAGAAAAGATTCTATTCCGAATTTTGGTTAGCAAAAGAGACAATTTATTTAGTATGTACCACAGCAGTATAGCATATATCTCTTATCCTCCTGCAATCTATCAAGTAACAAAATAACAAAAGTTGGAACGATATATTGAAAACCGTGCGAGATTGACCAGTTCCAATGGAAAAACAATTAAGGCCATAGTAATTTTTAAATGTTAAGCAACAAATTTCTGTTGGATGAGTATTTTAGGGACCAAAAGGCACACAGTCAATAAATTGCGTAGATTGGGTTTTATTCATACACAAGACGCATCACGTTATAAGGCGCGAAACCGGTATTGGTTTTAAGTGTAGGCAATATAAAGGCTACGCCGTCTTATAAAGCGCACAATCGATTTTTGATAAAAATGAAAAATGAAGTTTTTGAATCTCTTCCTATGGTCCGTCAAATACAACTATTCCAAATTATAAATCATTAATCTAATAATAATCTTGTTAGAAAGAACCTGATTATTATAGTCCCTTCGTTCCGCACGGATAAAATTTAACTATCTTTTAAATACAAGACGAATATGTAACGCAATTTGTATGTCTTACATTTGTTGATACATTGCTTCTATCGTCTATGGGGCTTCACTTACACTACAATTGTAAATGGGTTTATTTTCATCTGAGAACGCTTGTAGCAAAATGTGATTAAAATTTTTTTTGAAGAAATGAAAAAAATACTATATGACTATAATTGCATTCTCGCAACATTTTTGGACCCTAGACATAACAACTTCGACGATTGTCATATTATTGGATGCAGTCGAGAAACGCGAAATGGATGCCACAATGTATACAGGCGAAAGAGAAACTTAATGCCCCAGTGGAAAGTCGATTTTAGTGATTTAATTTAATATTATGGTAGTCTTGTGATAGAAACTGAACCAACCGTGGGTGAGAATCGTGATACTAATAGAAGGTTAAATGAATCGTGAGGTTTTTCACCAGTATGAATTCGCACAAGATAAGGCTAAATGAATCGTGAGGTTTTTCACCAGTAGGAATTCGCACATGATAAGGTTAAATGAATCGTGAGGTTTTTCACCAATATGAATTCGCATTTGATAAGGCTAAATGAATCTTGCGGCTTTCCACCAGTATGAATTCGCATATGATCGAGTTAAATGAATCGTGAGGTTTTTCACCAATATGAATTCTTACATGATAAGGTTAAATGAATCATGAGGTTTTTCACCAATATGAATTCGCACATGATAAGGTTAAATGAATCATGAGGTTTTTCACCAATATGAATTCGCACATGATAAGGTTAAATGAATCATGAGGTTTTTCACCTGTATGGATTCGCATATGATGGAGTTAAATGAATTGTGAGGTTTTTCACCAATATGAATTCGCACATGATAAGGTTAAATGAATCGTGAGGTTTTTCACCAGCATGCATTTTCATGTAATAAGGTTAAATGTATCGTGGGGATTTTCACCTGCATGAATTCGCATATGATCGAGTTAAATGAATTGTGAGGTTTTTCACCAATATGAATTCGCACATGATAAGGTTAAATGAATCGTGAGGTTTTTCACCAGCATGCATTTTCATATAATAAGGTTAAATGTATCGTGGGGATTTTCACCTGCATGAATTCGCATATGATCGAGTTAAATGAATTGTGAGGTTTTTCACCAGCATGCATTTTCATATAATAAGGTTAAATGTATCGTGGGGATTTTCACCTGCATGAATTCTCATATGATAAGCCCAAATTATGAGAGCATGTCATGTATAAAAAGGATTTTGAAAAATAATACGAGCAGGACCATGTTCGTTTTGAACATTTCAAATTGGCTTCACAGTTCTCAATATTACAATTATATTCGCGGCCAACACATCCAGTACGAAAGCAGCAATAGATGCTCAAGCAGATAGGAAATTTCTTCTTGCGCAGAATTATGCGCAGTTGAAGTTAATCATGATGATCCCCAAATACGGAGAATATCGAGTCTGCCTCAAGCTAATATCAGAGCTCACGAAAGAAAGATGTTGAAACAAAAAACCATAAAACCCTTACCGGAAGTAAGTCATAAATACTTTTATTTATTAATATATTGGTTGGTATTGGGTCCAGTCATGCAATACATGCATGATTAACGGAATTTAATTGTGCTTTATTTTCAAGTCCTATGTTTAGGTGATTCAAAATCGTCCCCGTCTTAAGTTTTACATAATATGATGTCTTTTTAGACTTGTTCCAGGAAACATATTTTGTTTTTATAATAGGACAGCAATACCTCATAAAAAATGTCAATTCTGTATCTGTATTTTCGAGGATTTGCTTTGAACGGAGAAATTACTTGCCCACGCAAATAGTAGAGGAGCATATTCCCAAAATTACAAGTACAAAGGGTCAAGATAAATATTCCAGTTGTAAACAAATATGATTACAAAAATAACAAGTCAGTAGTGCCCTATACACTTTGGCTAGAAAGTTGTTTCAAAAGACTGCAGAATCGTGGTGAGGTCAGTAAGAATATTCTGTCCATGTAAAGAGGTCAGTAGACCCGCTTAGTTATATTTTGTGGATTGAATTAACGCTGCGGACTTTTGCACCGTGGGTCATATTTAACCAGATAATTATAAAATCATGTTTCGGAGAATATTTTGCTTGCGTGAAAATGTTAGTGTACGGGATGCTGAGTCACACTTAAATGAATACAATTTGAAACAACCTTTGCATATTGCTCATATCAAGCAATTAGAAAAATATCGATGGATTTATATTTCGTGAATTGAACAATAAATAGCAATCTCAGCATCCAGACCTGGAACAACATTTGCATTGTTGCTAATGTGACGTAATTAGAAAAAAATCAATGTTATGTTATGAAACGTTATGGAGAAATCAACATGGTAAACAGCTGCCTAGCAAGTTTAAGACGACCCGTGACAACTACGTACGCTACATGTACAAGAGATGTGCTCTTTTACAGAAGTACCAGTACGAATGTGAGCAGGGATTGGAGGCGATCTTTCACGGTTGCAACAAATGGAACGTTAATTGACAGAAATGTCAAACAGTTGATTCAAGCCCAAGGCGACAAAATGGACATGGCCGCCTGATAAGATTTGTGCATCAAAAAACTTTCAGCATTGGCGGAATCACCGACAATGCGATTGAACGTTCGAGAAAAAAGATGGGGTGCCGAACAATAACAAGAAAATAAAGAACCTGGTGAAGCTGAAGAAACAAGTAATGATTGGTTTTTAGGCACAAAAATACTAAGGAAACATTAAATATTATAAGTAGCAGAAGTTTTTCGAAGACTACCTATTATTTGCTGCGCCAGTAGCGAGGCAAGGACATTCAGATCAGACCTCACTACTTACTAGAAGGCACTACTAACCACATAATATTAAACACGACATCATTTATCATCTGGCCATTCTGCACACTACAATTTCATAAAGATTCTGGTCTGACAACAAGCACCTGGAAATAATGTATTGCAAAAATTTGCCAGGAAAATTAGAAACTGCGAAACTCGGCAATTTTGGGGATTTGATTTCGACTACCTTTGCTGTCAGGGTTCTGTAAATCTTCCAGCATTTATCGGTATAATT